TGTAGGGGCAAGTGCTGTTCGCGAGTGGCACCCTATGAAGGCCGGCACGGCACACGAGGTCGGTGTGTGGCCAACGCCACGCCCGGCCGCCTTTGTCTGCCTCGTGGCGATGTTTATTACACACGGCACCAGGTACTTATTTGAGGCTGAGTCGACCTAGGGGAGGCCCAGGACCGGTTCAGACAATCGCAATCACTGGTGCTGGACGTGAACTCCCACTCGGGTTCGTGGCGCAGCGCACTAAGACAAAGTCCAGGCAGGCAGGCAGGCGCGCACACACTCACACACTTCATACATGTACGTAGAACATTTCGCTAATTCATTCACTCCACCGCTACTGGACGAAACAAATTTATTTATTTTTAAAGTCCAAAATAAACGGAAATGGTCGGAATTCCCCAATACTTTTGGCCTCAACCAGAGCCTCTTGCTCCCCTCCCCCGCCCGGCCGCGATGCACCCCCAACCCCTTCCTCTGCTCGGGGTTCCCAAGTCTTGGTGGATGTTGGCCAGACCTGCACATGTGGTGAGGATCATTGATTGTGGAGGGGGTGAGTAAGGAGGTAGGGCTCGAGTTCCTTTTTGGGTCGAGATGTGTCGACGTGTGTGTACGTGTGAGCGTGTGGTTGTGTGTGTGTACGTAGGCGTGTGCGTGGGTGCGTGTCTGCGTGGGTGTGTGTGTGTTTGAGTGTATGTATGGTTGTGTGTGTGTGTGTTTGTGTGTGGGCTAAAGCACAGTAAGTTTGCACAGTAGCGGGCACAGGTGGTGCATCAGCCAGTCATCTCAGTCATCTCAGTCAGTCGACCCGTGGCACCTGGGTCTGCCCCGTGACCTCCTGCCAGCGGGCGTTCGACACTTCACGCGGCCTCAAGGTGCACATAGCCTGGCACAAGCGTCGTGGTGACGTCACCGCCACTTAGTGGCGAATGGCTGTTGTTGCGTGGGCGTGCGTGTGTACGTGGGTGTGCGTCAGTATGTGAGTGTGTACGTGGGTGTGTGCGTGGAGGTATGCGAATGGATGGATGAAGCATCTGTGGGTGAGTATTGTATGACGATCATCTGAACCGGTCCTGGGCCTCCCCTAGGTCGACTCAGCCTCAAATGAGTACCTGCTGCGTTGTGCAAGCATCGCCACTAGGGAGACAAAGGCGGCCGGGCGTGGTGCTGGCGTGGTCCTGCTGTTCTTGCTAACAGCACTTGCCCCAAAAGTCCATTACGGCTATACGGGGGATGGTTGTATTCGCACCGTACGTAATCGGAAGTGTAGGTATGATGATGATGAGTGGTGACACAGTGGTTGAAACCCAGCTACCTCAGTGCGACTGTTGACCCCGTGACGCACGAGAGACATCAGTGGCAATGTGTATGCAAACCTTTTCGCGACAATCCCTTAGGTCTACTCAGCCTTAAATGAGCACCCTTTTTTCCCCCACATCAACATGGGACCGGCGAGGTCCTGGTCACCTCGCCCCATTCGTTGGCGGGGGCCAGCGATGGCAATTCCACACGCCTATGACGGGAGCCGGGACATCCTTGGGGCTCGCGTCCAGCCGGGAATGCACGGTGGTTGATGAGGTTGTATCGAGTTTCGCGGTAGCGCAGTAGACTCGGTGTAATGCATGCGGGTCTGCTTACACACGCACCCCCACCCCTCCCCATTGTTAATTCAGTGCATGGAAAGCGCGTAAAATACACAGTGACTGTGTTACATCGTCATTATTATCTTCACCATAGCCATCGTCATACGCCGTCAACCGTTCATAAGCCATCAACATCGTCCACTCAAAACACACATCATCATCATCAACCTGACGACCTCTTCAATACCGCACGCGTGTCCCGCTCACCACAACCTCCTTCCTCCCCCCCCCCACAAACCATTCCGAGCTTGCAAATTGATGTTATCCTCCCGTGCCATAAAATCCCGAGAGCAGCGGTTCCCATCCCTGTGGTCCGCGGAACTCCAGGTGGTCCGTGAGGTTACTACTCCGGGGGGGGGGGGGGAGGGGGTGCGATATCGTGGTAAATAAATAACAACAATAACATCCACACAATTTCATATAACCGGGATCGTGCGGTGGTCCGCAATATTAAAAGTGGCCCTGCACACTCGAAAATGTTGTCAACCACTGCCCCTGGAGCAGTGGACTTCGTTGTAAAGACCCGCGGCGCCACTGGAGGCCCCTGGTGACCTTTAGTGCGGCCCCTGGTGACCTTCAGTGCGGCCCCTGGTGACCTTTAGTACGGCCCCTGGTGACCTTTAGTGCGGCCCCTGGTGACCTTTAGTGCGGCCCCTGGTGACCTTTAGTGCGGCCCCTGGTGACCTTTAGTGCGGCCCCTGACGTGCGGCGGTGCAGGCCCACGACACATTAAACGAAATGTGAAAACACCCACCCCCCCATCGTCATCATCACCTCGCTGACGAACCCCCCAAGTGGTTAAAATATGTGGCGACCCTCAACACTGATGATGTTTTATCGGCGAAAGTGTGGCGGCCCCCACCCACCCCCTCTGAAAATGAGTGAAGAACACTGGCCTAGAGCGTTCCCGCAATTTCTCCACAAACGGCACAACAATTATCAAATGTTCTGAAACTCTACTTGCACGTTGCGGTGAGCACCTCCAGGAATGAGTGTGACCAGATTGGGGGGCTGGCACCCCCCTCTCCCCATCGTCCCCCACAACACGACATGGCGATGTCTTCTCAACCACCCCCCTGCCCCCACTCGGCTTCGTCATCTGTAAAAAATAAAGAGCTTCATAGCTCATCGGATTCTTTCAATCTAAATGAAGAATCTGATAAATTCACGATAATAACATCCCAGTGTCACGTTTTTAATGATCATGTTGCGTTGGTTGTACTGTAACGTCTATGCTCCTCGCGGTGTAGAGCGTTTCTGCTAACTCATCGAATTCCTCCAGTACACATAAATATTCTGATTCGGATCAAATGCTCCACGCCGAGCCTCATCAACCCTCCCTGAGCAGCGCACGGTGGCGTGGGGCAGGCCGTCATCCAGCAGTGGAGTGACGCAAGGGGCTGCCGCGCGGCACGAATTCCAAACCCAGGCAGCTGCCGCTCCCTCCAACCCAAGAAGGCGCCCTTCATTTAACCACCCCAGGTCTTCTCAGGCGCGCGCTGCCATCTCGCACAATCGTGAGCCACCAGGTGACTCTCCCACCCTCCTCTTACTCCCCCTCCGGCTTCCTGTGTGGGCGCGGTGCTGACCTGTCGAGGGCGACCTGTCCGTCTCGACACCGTCGGCGTTCTTTTGTGCAATCTCTCAAAATAGCCAAACTCGCCAGAGCGCCGTCATCTGCAGTCTGATTACGCGTCTCTTTGAAAGTAACGTGCAACTCAACCCTGTGGTTCACATCTCAAAATTAAAAATCCGGCTTAGTGGTTGTCGTATGGACAAACCGTTCCCTTTCCCCGCCACGAGAATGTGGAATGTCCACCACATGGCTCAGGGCTCACAAATCGGAGAGATTAGCGCCGCCGAACGTTTGCACCCAAGTGGTGGAGACTTCAAAGAAAGCAGAGAAGCGTTGTTGAGGAATCGATTAGAGGCCATCACTGCCCCCTGGTGGCCTTCATTGCGAATCGCTTTCCAAGTTCTAGTTCCCTTGGCTTGTCCGAGCAAATGCTTGGCTGAATAATATTGGGTCTGGAAAAACAATAGGCTGATGGACAAGTATATACTCTATGCGCATTTCTATGTGGAGAGTGACAAAAATAATAGTGATGATAATGTTTGTTTTGATCCACAATCATGTTTATTCTTCTTTTGTATGGCTGATGTAGATGGCAGAGCAACAGGAGGGGGTGTTGCTACTGAGTGGAATCCCAATCTGGTAGTTTTCAGTGTCATTCATCAGCATTTGGGATGTTTGGCCAATAAGAGTTACAGTGCATGCGTTTTTTTTTAATCTGTGATAGGGAACCGAATAAACCTGAGGAAACCCCACGCAGATCAGGGGGGTGGGACGAATAGACTCCACGCAGAAAGGCTCCCCAGTCGGGAAATCAAACCCAGGAGATTAGCAACAAATGTTATCACTGCGCCACCACGCCACGCTAGTTCGCAGTGCTACGATACATGACATGGTGACGACTCAAGCAAGACAAAACCCTGCACACCGCATGGATTATAATGGGACGAGTTTGTTTGTCCTCGGGTGTGTTTCATGATCAGTACGGAATCGCGTTGTGCATTTGAAAGTGCAGTAGGCGTAATATGTCACTGCAGTACGTTATCGTCTTGCTCTGTTCTGGGCATCTCCGGGTGTTGGACTGCTACTGTACATCATTGATCGACGTGGCCGGACTTCAAGAGGGCAAACCTCCACGCAAGAAACATGCCAAACGTTGGGCCAACGTCGGCCTTACGTTCCACGTTTATATACCCAGTAAATGTATCCATTGAACATGTTCGTGAATATATAGAAATATAAATATACTCGGCAGCTTCCGTTCGGGTTAATTAAACACTTACAATGACAAGCGCGTGCCGGAATGCCTTACAAGCAGCTGCAGGTGCAGCACATCCATGCGTTGAAGGGATTCTGTGGCACGCGTCTCGCCCCCTCGTCCTCCTCCTGTTCCGTGTCCCCGAGTGCCCCCCCTCGCCCCCACCCCTCGCCCCCCCCCCTCTCGCCCCCCCCCTCACCCCCCCTCCTCCCCCTGTTCCGTGTCCCCGAGTGCCCCCCCTCGCCCCCACCCCTCGCCCCCACCCCTCACCCCCCCCCATTGCCCCCCCTCTCGCCCCCACCCCTCGCCACCCCCCTCGCCCCCCCCCCTCTCGCCCACCCACCCCCCAGGGCTCGTCGCGTCTCGGGACTGATTTCCATCTCCATGACAACCAAAACGCGACGCCGTCGCCACCCCCCAACGCCACCCCCCCCATTCACCCAACCCCAGCGATGCAATTCAACAACAACACCACCAACACTACCACCACTACCAACAACAACACCACCACTACCACCACTACCAACAACAACAACACCACTACTACCACCACCAACACCACCACTACCACGAACACCACCACCACCAACTCACGGTGGTGACCCAGAGAGAAGGAGAAGAAGGCCAATGCGATGAGAGAGAGAGACGCGCGAGACGAGGGGAGGACATCACTGAGATCTCAGAGCGAGCGAGCGAGCGAGTCGCGCACTCTGAGGAGCCAACGCAGTCGCCGCCACTGGCCGCAGACCGCGTCGCAGCGACTTTGAGTGTCGGTAGCGACCTCAGTGGAGGACACTGGTGAGTTCACGGATTATAAGACGCGCTTTTCCTCCCGCGTGTGCGCGCGCTTTAAGTCAGAAAGTTGGCGTTGTGCGTCTTATGGTGCAGTAGGCGCGCACGTGAGTTGTGTCACGTCTCTGTCTGTCTGTCTGTGTCTGTCTCTCTCTGTCTGTCTCTCTCTGTCTGTCTCTGTCTGTCTCTCTCTGTCTGTCTCTGTCTGTCTCTCTCTGTCTGTCTCTGTCTGTCTCTGTCTGTCTCTCTCTGTCTCTCTCTGTCTGTCTCTGTCTGTCTCTCTCTGTCTGTCTCTCTCTGTCTGTCTCTCTCTGTCTGTCTCTCTCTGTCTCTCTCTGTCTGTCTCTCTCTGTCTGTCTCCTCCACACGTGGCGGTGGTGAAAAGTGGCGCCGATATTCACCCGGCGACTCATTAATAACAGCAGCGAATATCTGTAACCGGCATCTGGGAGGCCCCTAGGTCGACGCGGCCTCAAATGAGTAACCTGGTGCGGTGTGTAGTAAACATCGCCACTGGGGAGACAAAGGCGGCCGGGCGTGGTGCTGGCCACCCGCCCCCTCGTGTGCCGTGCCGGCCTTCACAGGTGCTCGCTAACAGCACTTGCCCCTACAGTCTGTTTTAGCTGTACGGGGCATCTTTGTCATTGACACGTTGAGGTGCGTCTTACTTTCCGGAGCGTTCTATACTCCGGAAAATAAGGTATTTGGATTCTGGCTTTGATAATACATTTTCATCATAATTCCTTTGTCGACCATACTTCATTGATAAGTCTTTGTACTTAATTGACGTCATGAGTATACGAATAAGCAATAATTAATCAACAGAAATCCATTATTATCAATAGCTCCAATATTCCATAATTCATCATCGATAAATCTCCATATTCGTGGTAAATAATGTACGATATGAGCATCACAGTCAATGACCATCCGCATTCCACTGATCAGTCATGTGCGACTGGGTCAGGTCCCCTGTGATGTACAGTACAGTATCTGCTTGCTTGTTACTGCCAAGTTACCGTTGCCACGTGTTCTGGATTTCCCAGGACGTCCTCCTTTTCGACGTAGCTACTCTTTGACAGAGACGTCACTCGGGTACGGCGAATCGGGGCGACCGCCCTGGACCCCACACTTTGGGGGGGGGGGGTGCGCTTCAACGTCACGGTCGTCAGATGTTATACTTCCAGTTTATTTTGAAGGCGTCGGGGGCCGTACCCTCCCCCCTATGGATGGCCCTTTTGGATATCTTGTAAGTCTTCCCATGGCATTAACAATTTCGGGTTTTGTCAGTTGCATAATAATAATAAACCCATCAAGACCATGCATTTACGTGTACAGTAGTAGTTCTCCACAATTCTGGTACTGAGATATTGCGCACCTCCAATTAGTACGGTTGGATTCGTACAGTGGGAAAGAAGTTCAACATACATTCATTCTTCCCGCGATTTGTCGCGGTTTTATGTACCCCAGAGGTGACAACCCGAGCACCACCACCACGTGTGTGGGTCCCCGCAGACAGCCACTGCAATAAGCGACCACGATGCCACCAATAAGGAAGACGGAAGGTAACGCCACTAATTGTATCTCACACTCCATGGGCGTGCGAGTTACTTGGTTCACTGATGGGTGATCGTACGTAAGAAAAGTGTTCAGCGATAACTTAAATCATGTAAAACGTGGACTCGACTGTATGCTTTATCAAATTTAATCCTTCAAAGAACACGACTGGGATTCACATCAGTCAATCGTCTGCCTTGAGTAACACGGATCGACAAGGGTCAGTTCACTACCAAAAAAATACATTTTAGTCCATCAGGCCATTTCATTTGTCTTCTTGGTCAGAATTTCCCAGGAGCCTTTGTGCGAGCAGCAAAACCTTGAACCGGTCTCAAATCCTTTTGAGTCTCATCGGCACGGTGTGGCCTGGCAAAGAAATGCCACTGGGTTTCCTGGTGTTAGAAGGCCATTCACAGAACATTCGTCATAACAAACAGACCCCCTTTGCCATTCACTGCTTCACAATCAGGCAAGACGGCACAATAATTGTAATTAATAAATAATCTTCAGCCGCGATCTTTCCACTGCTGAATGAATGCCACCGTCAAATTTAAATGCAGATTAAAGCCTGGGCGTTGATGTGGTTAGAACAGAAGGTCGCGAGTCTAACTCCAGGTCAGGGTTCAACTCGGCCCATCATCCCTCTGTGACGGATCGACTTTCCACTGTGTGTGTGCACCATCAATAGTGGCGTCTGCCATGTGAATGTAGAAATTCCTCAACTGGCTACAAACTACCTAAAAAAACAATGAGAGCACCCCCTCCATGCTAAATATTACACGTAGGTGTTTACCTGTACGACAAAGACCTGTACAGGGAATCTAACTTGTTATTTTTTTACCTGTGCGGCGGCAGCAGCAGCAGTACCCGGCTGGCTTCAGCAGAGGGGCGGTTCGCTGGCTCGTGTGGATGAGCGCGACGACGAGGTGGATGGAGATGAGGTAGACAAGCTATGTTTAGAGGATGACCTTGTGGGGGGCGTCAGGCTACACGAGTGAGGTCAAACAGAGCCGACTGCACACCTCTTCCATCAACCATGCCTCACCATGAAGTACCACTCTCCTCCACGTAAACAAGCTGGCCGTACGAGCCTGGCACAGGGCGTTCTTGCCAACATTTTTTGTAAACGTGTTAATGTGCCTGGCCGCGAGGTGGCTATGAGATGCAAGTAATGGGTTCTTGAATGTACACGTGCAGTTGTCATTAAGTGTTATCTCCCTTTACATTGCTGGTGAATTTCTTTAGGTTCTCAAGCGTCCGACCACGTGCCAAACACTCATTTGTGGAAAGTTTGGCCCAATCGAGAACATTTATAGTGAGCAGGTATTGATTGAGGAGAGCAGGCGTTGGGGATAGAAGATGTTGGGGTAAAGTGTTGGTGCGAGCAGGTGTTTGAACAATTATTTGAGCGAGCTTGTGTTTGAAAGGCTGTTGAATTGAGCAATACGTAGATTGAGTTGGCATTTAGACTCAGAGCAAGCTGTGTAACGGAGCGTTAGTTGAATGGAGGAGTGGGTGTGCGTGTGTTTGTGCGCGCGTGCGTGACCTGGTCAAGGCCTATTATACCATCAGTCGGCCTGGGCTCTTGGTTGTTCTTCGTGCTTTCGGAGTCCCTGACAGTTTGCTCACAATCATTAAGGACCTTCATGATGGTGAGTGTGCCCGGGTAAAACTACGTGGCCGGGAGTCGGAGCCATTCCCTGTTCACCTTGGGGTGCGACAAGGGATGTGCTCTAGCTCCCACATTATTTAACAGCTATTTCGACCATGTAGTTCGTGAAGCCTTCTATGGCTGTACCGGAGGAATTTCCATCTGGTACAGATACAATGGGAGGCTGATCGATGCCCGGGTGCAGTCAAGGGATGGCTCCCTATTGGTCAACCATGTTATATATGCCAATGATCTGGTAATTGCTGCTCACTCAGAGGGTGAGTTGGAGGCACTGCTGCTGAACCTGGAGCATGCCACCAACGAGGTGGGGCCTTACCATCAGCCCCACCAAAACTAAGCAAGCGGACCTGGTCAGACACTGTACCCCCACAACTCCAAATTGGTGAAGGGGCAGTTGTGGAGAAAGTGGAGAGTTTCCCATATCTGGGCAGTGTGCTCATGACTGGCTCCAGTTTGACAGCAGAGGTCTCACTCCGCGTTAGTCGAGCGGCATTATCTTTTTATCGGTTGCGTAACGCTGTGTGGAAGCTACCTGGTCTGTCGCTCCACACGAAGCTTCAGGTATTCTCGGCCACAGTCATGTCCTCCCTTCTCTACGCTTGCAAAACGTGGACCCCCCTAATGGAACATCTTCGCTGGTTAGAAACATTTAAGTTGGCCTGCCTACGATCTACTCTGGGTTTAACCAGGCTGGATTGTGTGAGGAGCTCACAAATACTTGAAAGATCTGGATAAAATCCCATCGGTGAGCTCCTCCGGCAGGCAAGGCTGCGTTGGTTGGGTCATGTAGCCCGCATGCCTAGCCACCGCATGCTTAAACAGCTTTTGTTCGGCCGGATAGAGGGGGTTAAACAGGCGTGGCACGGGCTAGAGATGAAATGGAGTGATGTGGTACAAGAGGATGTGGAGCTGGGTGGACTTGCCGATGACTGGTACCAGCGGTGTCAAGATTGGCCTCTGTGGAGGAGGCTCGTAAAGGACGCTACTGGGCATTTGGAGGCAATCGCCATCCGACAACAACGGAGGGTGGAGGAGCGACGCTCACAACAACGAGCGGAGCGCCGGGTGGCTAAAGCGCAGCAAGTTGGCACAGTAGGAGGCACAGGTGGTGCATCGGCCAGTCATCTGTCAGTCGACCCGTGGCACCTGGGTCTGCCCCGTGACCTACACTTCACGTGGCCTCCACGTGCACATAGCCTGGCACAAGCGTTATGGTGACGTCACCGCCACTTAGTGGCGAATGGCGGTTGTTGTTGTGCGTGTATGCTGTGGGGGTGCAGGCCGAGCCAGAGCCACACGAGACAGGGGTCCCCAAGGCTCGTGACGAGGACCGCTTCGAGGCGCTGTCTCAGGAGACGGTGTCGGCCCTCGCGCTCACCCGCGGCTGCGTGGCCGAGGTGACGACGGCAGTGATGGCAGTGCCTTCTCGTGTCCCCACGTCCCCACGTCTCCACATCTCAACGACCCTGTGTTGGCTTGTCTCTCCGTATTCATGGCCCCGTGTCTTTGTGTCTCCGTCTACTCAAGTGTTTTCACGTTATGACGTTTTCGTGTCCCGGTGTCTCACTAGCTCTGTGTCTTGATGGTTACATGTATTATCATCAAGTTACTGTGTTCTGTGCTTAAATGTGAGTTTTTGTATCTCCATGTCTCTATGCTCCCATGTCCCTTCGTTTCCAAGTCTCTGGGTCTTCATGTCCACATGTCTTCACGCCTCTTCGTTTGCAAGTCTCTGGATCTTCATGTTGCCCACAGCTCATGGACTTTAAGGATGTGCTGCTCCAGCACTCTCTTCCCGGGGCCCTGCGCGCGAGGCTTCTCCTGCTCATGTCTCGCCTACACCGCAGGTAGCAGGGAACATCCCACTCATTTAAGGCTGAGTTTACGAAAGACGAGGCCCGGTGCAGGTTAAGACACTACTCGCTCCCCACTAGACACCAGTTACAATTCTAGGAGACAAATGATGATGATGATGTAAATAACAATGATTAAACTGGTTTTGATGATCATCATCATGAAGATGACACTGGCAGTGATGACAACAATTGACAAAGAACATTAAATAATCGACTAGCTGTACTACCCAGCTTCGCCGGGGACTTGGATTCACCACACCCGGCCGCCTTTGTCTCCCCAGTGGCGATGTTCACACCACAACAGTTACTCGTTTGAGGCTGAGTCGACCTAGGGGAGGCCCAGGACCGGTTCAAATAATCGTCACCGGTGGTCGCCGGGTTCGTAGCGCGGCGCGCTAACCGCTACACAACAATGCGTTACGCTTCCACACGCGAGGGTCACGTGACAGATTTGACGTCACAGCTCACTTGCCGTGCAAAAAATAAATGCATTATTGAGCTCCCCCCCCCCGCTAAAAAAAACAAAAGTGTATTTTTATAATTTTTGCATGGTGTACAGTCTGGAAAGTACCCACATGGCAAATTTCAAGTGTGTTGCATGTCGGGAAGTACGCTAAACATTTTGAACAAACAACACATATTCACAACTTTGCCTTTTATATATATGGAGATACTCAGGATAACAATGATGATGAATGAGACTGGTAGTGATAATGCTGATGGTTATGACAGGGACGATAATGATGCTGACAGGGATGATCCTACTACTAATAACAGCCACGGTGATGATGATTATCAACATCTCCATGACTGCTAACAATGATAACAGTCATGGTGACAATGTTGATCTTTTCTTATTTTATATTTATATTGAGCGCCTTAGCTCAAGGTGCTTTACATAGTTTAAAAGTGGTACAACAATATATGACTTAGATGGCAAGGGCGTGCAAAGGCCGCGAAATGAGTGACCGAAACAGAGGGCATATGGGATCACGAAAGGGCAGAGGAGGGAGGAGACGGAGTGGAGGGGGGAGGGGAGGGAAGAGGAAGGGAATGGGCAATGGAGAAGAGGTGAGGCTTTGAGAGAAGAAGGAAAATGAGGCTAAGGGAGGGGACTGCTCAATGTACAGGGGAAGTTGATTCTAGTGGAGGGGTACAAGGCGGGAGAAGGATCTAAAACGAGATTGAGCACAGAGAGAAGGAAGGAGACAGAGAGAGACAGAGACAGAGAGAGGCTGAAGATGAGTTGGGGATGGCCATGGAGAGAGATGATAGTCGTAACGATGACAATGATAACGTCTGTGATATTAACGACGATGGTGATGATAATGTGTGACGAAGTGTCTCAGACGTACAGGTGCCCGCCGGGGAACTGTCCCGTCTCACGCTGGTCTACTCGTCTCACTGGCACCGGCAGAGCGAGGCCTTGAGGACCCTACACGAGCACTGCCAGATGTGGGCGCCGGTCAATGGCCTCTACCTCCTCGTCCCTCCTCCTCCTCTCCGCCTCATCATCTCCCCCGCACACAGCACCACCATCGTCGTCATCATCATTCTAATCATCATCATTGCTCTCCATCGTCCTCACAGTCGTCCACCACCATTGCCATCATTATCATAATCGCTGTGGTCATCATCATAGCTATTGTTGACCATCGTCACTTCGTTATAGCCCTTGTGTGACGCCACGAGGATTCAAACTCGCGTGGGACATACGGCCCCGGGTGCGTAGCTACGAGACCAGAGGGCTCATCCGTTGTGTTGGCCCACGTCTCCCTTTGACTCACTGACGACTTGACGGTGACCGAGTGATTGGAGCCGCTCAGGGGGACAGCTATGGGGGTGGGGGGGGGGGTGTATGTGGTAGCGCCATGCGATGCGTAGGGGCCCAGTCGGTCACAACGGGGGGGGGGGGGGGGAGCCCGAATCAACAAGATAAACAAGTAACAAAAAAAATGTCAAGACATTTTTGTTTTACCAAAACAATAAGGAGAGCAATAATATATGGTTGTAGCCTACACATTATTGTACACGGGTTAACACACATCCGTAGTTATTTCAGTAAAAGTGAGTCGGGGGAAAGTAGAGAGGGGGGAACCACCCCGTTGAAGTGAGCTGTTGCGCCCCTGCCCGCGTGTGTGTGTGTCCATCTGTCCCTAGGAAACAGAGGCTTCTGGATGTCGCCATGAGGCGGTTGCAGCTGCTGCACGAGCAGGTAGTGGCTCTTCAGGACAGGGGAGGTCACCACCTGCACACCACCGCCTGGCCTGGCACGAGCCCCTCAGCTTGTGCAACCTGCCGAAGAGTTGATTGAGGCTGGGGGTCGATTGAGTGAGGCTAGAGTAGAGAGTGAGGATAGAGTGGAGAGAGTGAGGCTAGAGTGGAGAGTGAAGCTAGAGTGGAGAGTGAGGCTAGAGTGGAGAGTGAGGCTAGAGTGGAGAGAGAGAGACTAGAGTGGAGAGTGAAGCTAGAGTAGAGAGTGAGGCTAGAGTGGAGAGTGAGACTAGAGTGGAGAGTGAGGATAGAGTGGAGAGTGAGGCTAGAGTGGAGAGTGAGGCTAGAGTGGAGAGTGAGGATAGAGTGGAGAGTGAGGCTAGAGTGGAGAGTGAGGCTAGAGTAGAGAGTGAGGCTAGAGTGGAGAGTGTGGCTAGAGTGGAGAGTGAGGCTAGAGTGGAGAGTGAAGCTAGAGTGGAGAGTGAGGCTAGAGTGGAGAGTGAGGCTAGAGTGGAGAGTGAGGATAGAGTGGAGAGTGAGGCTAGAGTAGAGAGTGAGGCTAGAGTGGAGAGTGAGGCTAGAGTGGAGAGTGAGGCTAGAGTGGAGAGTGAGGCTAGAGCGGAGAGTGAGGCTAGAGTGGAGAGTGAGGCTAGAGTGGAGAGTTAGGATAGAGTGGAGAGTGAGGCTAGAGTGGAGAGTGAGGCTAGAGTGGAGAGTGAGGCTAGAGTGGAGAGTGAGGCTAGAGTGGAGAGTGAGACTAGAGTGGAGAGTGAGGCTAGAGTGGAGAGTGAGGCTAGAGTGGAGAGTGAGGCTAGAGTGGAGAGAGTGAGGCTAGAGTGGAGAGTGAGGATAGAGTGGAGAGTGAGGCTAGAGCGGAGAGTGAGGCTAGAGTGGAGAGTGAGGCTAGAGTGGAGAGTTAGGATAGAGTGGAGAGTGAGGCTAGAGTGGAGAGTGAGGATAGAGTGAAGAGTGAGGCTAGAGTAGAGAGTGAGGCTAGAGTAGAGAGTGAGGCTAGAGTAGAGAGTGAGGCTAGATTGGAGAGTGAGGCTAGAGTAGAGAGTGAGGCTAGAGTGGAGAGTGAGGCTAGAGTGGAGAGTGAGGATAGAGTGGAGAGTGAGGCTAGAGTGGAGAGTGAGGCTAGAGTGGAGAGTGAGGCTAGAGTGGAGAGTGAGGCTAGAGTGGAGAGTGAGGCTAGAGTGGAGAGTGAGACTAGAGTGGAGAGTGAGGCTAGAGTGGAGAGTGAGGCTAGAGTGGAGAGTGAGGCTAGAGTGGAGAGAGTGAGGCTAGAGTGGAGAGTGAGGATAGAGTGGAGAGTGAGGCTAGAGTGGAGAGTGAGGCTAGAGTGGAGAGTGAGGCTAGAGTGGAGAGTGAGGCTAGAGTGGAGAGTGAGGACTAAGAGTGGAGAGTGAGGCTAGAGTGGAGAGTGAGGCTAGAGTGGAGAGTGAGGCTAGAGCGGAGAGTGAGGCTAGAGTGGAGAGTGAGGCTAGAGTGGAGAGTTAGGATAGAGTGGAGAGTGAGGCTAGAGTGGAGAGTGAGGATAGAGTGGAGAGTGAGGCTAGAGTAGAGAGTGAGGCTAGAGTAGAGAGTGAGGCTAGAGTAGAGAGTGAGGCTAGATTGGAGAGTGAGGCTAGAGTAGAGAGTGAGGCTAGAGTGGAGAGTGAGGCTAGAGTGGAGAGTGAGGATAGAGTGGAGAGTGAGGCTAGAGTGGAGAGTGAGGCTAGAGTAGAGAGTGAGGCTAGAGTGGAGAGTGTGGCTAGAGTGGAGAGTGAGGCTAGAGTGGAGAGTGAAGCTAGAGTGGAGAGTGAGGCTAGAGTGGAGAGTGAGGCTAGAGTGGAGAGTGAGGATAGAGTGGAGAGTGAGGCTAGAGTAGAGAGTGAGGCTAGAGTGGAGAGTGAGGCTAGAGTGGAGAGTGAGGCTAGAGTGGAGAGTGAAGCTAGAGTAGAGAGTGAGGATAGAGTAGAGAGTGAGGCTAGAGTGGAGAGTGAGGATAGAGTGGAGAGTGAGGCTAGAGTAGAGAGTGAGGCTAGAGTGGAGAGTGAGGCTAGAGTATAGAGTGAGGCTAGAGTGGAGAGTGAAGCTAGAGTGGAGAGTGAAGCTAGAGTGGAGAGTGAGGCTAGAGTGGAGAGTGAGGCTAGAGTAGAGAGTGAGGCTAGAGTGGAGAGTGAGGCTAGAGTGGAGAGTGAGGCTAGAGTGGAGAGTGAGACTAGAGTGGAGAGAGTGAGGCTAGAGTGGAGAGTGAGGCTAGAGTGGAGAGAGTTAGGATAGAGTGGAGAGTGAGGCTAGAGTGGAGAGTAAGGATAGAGTAGAGAGTCAGGCTAGAGTGGAGAGTGAGGCTAGAGTGGAGAATGTGAGGCCTGAACGTGTGAGACTACAGAGGTAAAGTCGCCATGGAAAAAGTTAAAAAGTCCATAAGTCAGTTCACTTTGCGAGTTGCCCTTGGCACACAAAATCGACCGATGTGTGATCCAACACCCAAACCAACACTCCACCAAACACTCCAACCAACACTGCACAGGTTGTGTCGCCAACATCTCCACCAAAAACATCACCCAAAACCTCATTACATCGGTCAACAAAAAGTCCACTTAAAATTCCACTCCAGCACCTCACCAGTGATGAGGCCGAAATATTACGAAAACCCATGTAGCAGCATAGCCACTCCTGGGCAGTTATAGCACAATACGATTCACTGATTAACCCAAATTATTGCAAGCACCCATATAAAATCCTGCCCTCATCTTGGCACGTCATATCTGGGCATGGCTCCCTGATCATTCATAATGTCTTTTGTGTGATCCTTTTGGTAACGAACAATACAAAAATATCACTATCATCAGCCATTATCTATCCACTGCTAGATGAAAGCCTCTCCGCGCAATTTGTCTTTTCACCAGCGAATAATATATATTTTTCCGTAACCACGAACCTGACAAGAGGACAGAATCCGCAAATAATATTTACATGCTGAGTTGAATGTCAATCGTGTGGGGCTTGTCCTGAAGACGCGTCAATGTCATTTCTCAGGTGAGAAGAGTTGCAGAGGAGAGAAAGCTGCTTCGCTGGGAGAAGATGTTCATGAAAATGACGGTGAGAGATCCACGATGTTCATTTCGAAGCCATGCGATCCCAGCGACGCACGCAAGTTTATTATTATTCTGCGGAGTGCGTGTGTGTGTATGTTGAACTTCTTTGGCACCGTATGTGGCCAACCGCGCTAATCGGAGGTGTGGTTTGTCGCTAGGTGACTAAATCACAGAAAGTTGCCACAGGTGGGGTGCATATAACCAATCATGTCAGTTAATCCAGCGCACCTGGGCCCTCCTGCCAGCGAGCCTTCAACAACTCCACGTGGCCTCAGAGTGACAGCACAAATGCTGTGGTGACGTTACCGCCACTTTAGTGGCGAATCGCGGTTGTATGTATATGTTTATTTGTCTGTGTGTGTGTATTCGGGAGTGTCTCTTTGCCATGAAGGAGTGTGGTAGCGCAGTGGCTCGTACCGCGCTATGAACTCAGTTACCTAAACTCAATTCCAGGCCACAGATAACATCAGTGGAAAGTGATATCTGACCTGATACTTGGCCTCCTGTAGATCAACTCAGCCTAAAGTGAGTACAGTACCGTACCTGATGTATCACCTTACCCAGCACTGAGGAAGACAGATTCCGAATAACGTTGTGTTGGCCACCCTTCCAACTCGTGCAGTTTCAGCCTTAATAGGTGCTCGCTAACGGCACTTTCTCCAACAGGCTGTATGTCTATACGGGGCAGCTTTGTACCACTGACTGTCAGAGTGTGCATACGTGTACAGCACATGTGTGCGTGTACGTGCCTGTGAGCGAACATCTGTGTTTTCTCACGGAACCCTGACGGCCAGGCAACTGAAGTTCTTGGAGCAAAGTGGCCGAATATGATGGCGTCTTTCATGGAGGAAGCGACCCAGAGGTACGTGAACATCAGCAGCGAAAAGTGAACGACAATGTAAATGTCCGTGCCGTGTTAGATGTTGCTCTGCCCCTAACAATAACTAAGCAACCAGATACTACCCCTCAATTCAAGACACTAGCCAACCAGACCGAACCCCCAATCCAACTCCTATCGGATCGAGTGGGGGGGGGGGGGCACAAGAGCTGTTGTGTGGGGGGGGGGCGCAACCTCATAAATGCAATTCACCGCTAAGGGGCATGAACTTTGGTGGGGTCAAAGGGAAATTTGGTGGTGCAGGGCGCAATCCAGCTTGCACCTATTTAAGATATAAAACCAAAAGTTTATTTTTATTTTACCGGGTAAGACCCACTGAGCTGTATAGCTCTTTCAGAAGCGACCTCGCCACAAATTCTAGCGCAATCAAGTGGCTTATCGCAAGGACATTTATAGCAGCCAAATACTCTAAAACGCATGTTTCTAAATGTGGAGGGAGAAACCGGAGGACCCGGAGAAAAATCCACGCGACCACGGGGAGAACATCCAAACTCCAAAAATACAGGCGTCGGGGTCAGGATCGAACAGACGACCTCCTGTAAACCAGGCGAGGTAGTTAACATCTCGCCACCGTGGCACCTCAACTAACAAACGAGCAAGCAACCTCCAGCTCTTCCCTCCACGGGATGAGAGTTTTTTTTTTCCTGATGCGCGCGTCATTTGACACGTACTGTTGGACACGAGTGTCTATTTAAGTCGGGGACGTCTTGTCGTGTTGTTGTAGGGGAGACGTTCGTGGTGTTCATAAAACCTCCTGCGAAGGCTTCAGTAAAGGCAACAGTGATGAAGACGTGGATGTTGATGATGATGATGACGACGAAGACGATGGCGATGATCAAGACATGTTTATGCCAACTGTAAGTGAAAGAAAAAAAAAGCATTACAAATTTAAATATGCCTGTAGAAAGCAGTATAGAAAATATGTGCATAGCTGTGCAGATCATTGAGTGTTATCCGCTCGCGTGTATGGGTTTTCTCCACCTCGCAAAAACACTGAGGACTCAGTGAGCCTTTCCTGATTATAATTTTCTTTCTCGCAATATATTCACGTTACAGAGTTATCTAAGTTAGCCTGGCGGAGTGGAACCTTAGTGAGAGCATTTGAATGTGGTTTTGGACGACTCAGGCCATCAGCTATCCGGCACCTATAATCCTGCACAGGAGGGATCCTCGTTCAGACCGTGCGGGTCGGAAGGAAGCTATAGCAAGGTATCCTCATTATCATTACAATCCCCCTGGGGTCCATTAATGTAGTGCCGCTTTGGGGAAGGTCAACTGTGGTCATCCCATGGGAATGTGGAATTTCCACCTCAGGATCATTATACACGTTGATTAACTTTAATGAAACTGTTGTCGGATATCGCCACGGAAATGTTTGCCGTTCCATTTCCCCCGAGTGTGTCATGGCCCTTGGGGCAGAAGGAGTGCCACTCCTCCTCTTGAGCAGAGAGACAAAAGCTTACTCTGTCGACTTCGAGTTGTGCATCACGCGACAAGGAACCTCATGTTGTGTTTGTCTGAGACTGCAGGAGCGACACTGGAGGAAGCGACCAGCTCCCATGTCCATGGCGCCTCATAGACGGGAGTTCGGCACTCAGACTGACGCCACCGCACAGACAGACACTGACGCCCAGGCAGACACGATCACGCAGACGAACGCAGACACCCAAACGGATGCGCGCGCGCAGACGGACACGCACACGCAAACGCAAACGGGTGCCCAGGGAGACGCTGGCACACAGACGAAAACCGCCGCTCAGTCGGACGGAGTCTCCCAGACGGACAGAATCTCCCACATAGACACCGGCGTCCAGACGGACACCGACGTGGTGGACGAGGAATATGTCACTCGGCCAGACCCAACCGGCCAGGCGGATGGAACCCTGCTGCTGGAGAACGTCACGTGCATGGACGCCGCCAGCCAGACCGAGGCTCCAGCAGAGGGGAGGTGAGGAGGGCTGAGGGAGTGGGACGCGAGGGAGTAGGACAGCAGGAGTAGACGCCAAACGTTCCTGGTTTGGCCCCGGTTTAAAGATATCTAGGCTAACGATTGACCCATGAGACGGGAAAAGTGCTTAGACTCTCTGTGTAGGGGGCGGTGCTGGCAAAGGAGAAGGTGGGCCCTAAGAGCGGTAGGTGGGGCCACAGACGTGATGAATGACGAGGAGAATCGGTGTGGTTGTGTAAAAGTTGGCGGGGCTGACAGAGGAAGGGATTTCCAGCTCACCATGTGTCTCGGTTGAGCATCCGAGAAATGTGTGGTGGCCTCAGGAGGGAGTGAGCCTGGAGGGAGATAGCAGAGTGATTTCGCCTGACCTCCAACCACGAGATTTGAACTCGTACCCTTCTGATTGTGAGTTGAACGTTATAACCACAGGAGCAACCAATCACCTGCTGTCATGAACAGTAATAACAACAAATATTCCAAATATGCATCTTTGTCAATGCTTCTTTATGCTCTTTTCAAATGTTTTTCCATTCACTTTGCCAGTGTGCCCATGTGTCTGATCCATACATCACAATATGCAATACGCACCAACTGAAAACGCTCACAGCCCCGGTTATAAAAACAAACCATTTCACCAAATAAACAAATTCGGCGTTCTGCACACCAAGTGCACAGATTGAACTGGTCGCCTGTGTGTATGAATCGTGTCCGTGCGTGTGTGTGCCAGTCGTGGCGAGCGGCAGTGCGGCGGTCAGCGCGCTGCGTTACGAACCCGGCGACCCGGCGAGCCGAGTTCGTATTCCCGCTTACGGCCAACACCGGCGACGATTTATCTGAACCGGTCCTGGGCCCCTCCCTAAGGTCGACCCAGCATCAAACGAGTACCTGGTGCGATGTGTAAACATCGCCACCGGGGAGACAAATGCAGCAGGAGTGTGGCGCTGGCCACACCACCTCTCATCGTGCGCCGCGCCCGACATCATCATCGGCGCTACTCGCTAACAGCACTTTGCGCGCAACGGTCTGTTGAGGCGGCACGGGGTGTGGGGGTCCGAATCTTTTTCTTTGCGAGTGAGCGAGACCGCTCGTGAAATACGTTTGAAAGCGCGGTGATGAAATCCCAACGACCTTTCACGCGCGCTGCCCCACAAACACCTCGGACGCTGCGCCGTGGCAGACATTGGCGGGGAGAGTTTCCCCGCCGCTAATGGGGAATGGACGCAGCGCTCGCGCCGAGATAATTTACCGCAACTTCGATTTCGTCCAAATGAAATATCAGCGAGCACCGTTGGCAGAGTTGCGGAAGGAAAAAATATGCCCCCCGAGCAGGAAAATATTTTTCAAAACTAAAACTTTACTGCTGTCGTGAGGCCGAGTGCTGTTAAACACAGGGCTGCCCTTATTACGCGCTCAAACAATGCGCTCTCTATGAAACGTGAAAATGTTGCGCTGCTCACACAAGTTGCGGGCGCGCGATGTTTATCTCACTTTAAGCAACGAGAAACTGGATTTTGACCGTTATAGCCCCGTCATAAAAAAAATAACCGTAACATTTTAATTTTGGCGGGAAACGGTGGAACTGATCAATGCGAAAAGGTTTGACCAAACAAACCTTATGATCAACAGGATGTCTGGGGAGTGGAGTTGGGGTGGAGGGGCTTCATCTAACAGTCGATTGATAAAGGTCTGAAAGTTTTTGAGGTGGGGGGGGCGATGGGGAGGTAGCACGGTAATTCGCACCTTCGGCTATGAATGAAACTGGCGACCTGATTTTGATTCCTGGGCCGGAGCGAGCAGTGGTCGCGAGTGACATCGCCACTGGTCCTGTGCCTTTCAGCAACCCACACTGACCACTGCGGTGAAATATTTCCACAAGCCCCCAAGATAAACACGGCGTGGGGAGGCCTTTATCTGACAGTGGACTGATCATGGAAAATGTTAATGATGATGATGAATACGAATGTCGATATTTTACCCACAGCTTGGAACTAAGAGCCGAGGAGACGTGCAACACCTCCAGACTCCCGACACCCAAACCCCGATCCACGGAGGAGACGGTGGAGGGGAGCGAGAGGAAGCCTCAGGCCGACGTGAGTGCTGTCGACGTCCATGGCAGACTCGCCGAGTCCCGAGACTTCTTTCACTAAGGTCCTACTGCATCGGCATGTTTGGCCAGTGTGTGTGTGTGTGTGTTTTTAATAAGGCAGAGTTTTGGTTTCATTTAGGAGGAAACCGCAGCACCCACAGAACGCCCACCACACACACGCACACACATACACACGAGCGAGATGATAATCGAACGTCTGCATGGATGGGTTCGCAAACCCGCTTGGTGTGCAGGTTTACCCTCGCTTCATGCGGGTTTCGGTTTGTGCAATTTCGCCGAAATTCGGCTAACCTATTTCGAGTATAACACTCTCAATACAGTATTGCGGTTTGAATTCACTCACATGCGGGCTATGCGGTCGGACGTGGGACAGCATTGTGGAGTGCGTATCGTGCGCGCTACTCGGCAGGCAGCTGTCTCGTGCGGTTTCGCTTTTTTTGCGCCCGTTTTTGCAACGCATCTACTACTACCACCGAATAAAGCGAAGGAAAGCTGTCACTGGCGATTCCTGGACGCCTTTGCGGAAAGCGGGTTCAGGAGTTTCACAAATCTGTGTAGCTACTACCGATCTTTACCACAATGACTGCTCGAGATTTGTTGTCCTTCCCCCACACCTCCGATTAGTGCTGTATCAGGGTCTCCGACCCAGCAAATATGCAACATTGGGCCAACGTCATTAGCAAGCGGTTGGAACCGTTGGACCAACGTTGTCCCAACGTTCCACATTTACCAGGGACATAGTGACTATGAACCGCCTGAGACGACAACCGCTACCGAATATGTTTGTGCTCAACTGTCTCCGACGGGGCCATTACGAGGTTCCTCCACCCCCCCCCCCCCCCCCCCCGCTTCTGTTCCCGTTCGTTGTCGTCATTGCTGCTGCCACTGTGGTGACCCACGCCGTGCCCAGGCGTGGGCGAGGAGGCGGTGCGGGGGCGAGCAGCGCGGCGGGGGGCGACGTTCGGGTCGGCTCCTCGCGGACCGTCGCTCCGAGGAGGCGGCGCGCATCGAGGGCATCCTGGCGGCCCACGGGAGACTCGCCCCGGTGCCACGCGACCGTGCGGAAACTTGCAACAAGGCTCGCACACATCTTGTTCAGCCAATGTTTCAATTCTTGGCCATTTCACTCGTCATTCATCCTTGCTTTCTGCCGTTCAGTCGCTCATTTATTTTAATTAATTCGCACACTCATTCTTTCTGGATGATCTTTCTTTTTTTTTCGCACTTATATTTAATTTCTTAGCCATTTCTCTTTCTTCCTTTCAATCACTCATGATTTTTTTTCATCATTCATTTACATACTCATTATTTCTGGTCAGTTATGAAAACATTTTCTCACTTTCCGTGTTAACATAATTCCCATGGCCTCCTCAGAATGCGTGAGGCCATGTGTGTACTTGTACGTTGAACTTCTTTAGTACCGTACATAGCCAAACTGTTAATCAGAGACCCTTATCTGGCAGAGAATTGATAAAAGGGCCGTATATATTTAAGTGTTGAATGGACATGGGAGTCATTTATCCGCGTCTCTGCATCTCCTCCACCCCTCCCCACCCCTCCGCGCCGCCGTGCTGTGCAGCCTGGGATCTGTGCCGCGGTGCCGCGTTCTTCCCCTCCCCAGCGCGGCCACCTCGACCCCGGCCACGACCCCAGCCGCCTCCCTCTCCCTTCCACCTGCCACCCCTGCACGCGACTCCCCAGGTGGGGAGCGGCGGCGCAGCGGTTAGCCTGGCGACCCGAGTTTGATAGGCGCTTGCGTGTGTAGACGTGGGGAGCGGTGGCGCAAGTGCGCTATTAACCCGGCGACCCGAGTTCGATTCCCGCTCACGGCCAACACCAGTAACGAATATATGAACAGGTCCGAGGCCTCCCCTAGCTGGTGTGGTGTGTAAACATCACCGCTGGGGAGACAAAGGCGATCGGGCGTGATGCTGACCACCCTCCCCGTACCATACCGGCCTTCATAGCTACTCGCGAACAGCAATTGCCCAAAGTCTGTAAAGTCTATACGGGGGATATTTGCCTTTGCCTTGGTGCAAATCATCACCTCACACCCTTCATCTCATCCAATGAACATGATCACCATCATTTCATTTACTTCAACACCTCCACATCATTCTCACACCAATTACTTTCCTCCTCGTCCACATAATATACATCACGTCCTTTATCAATCTACTTTTAGATGAAGGTCTCCCCACGATGAGGGTCGTGGGGGCTCTTTGGTCATACTTCACCACGCTAGTCAGTGCAGGTTAGTGAGGATCATATATATGGGAGCATTGATGTACAGTACAGCACAGCAGTGGATTGCTCTGCACCGCCCCCTGCTACCCACAACTTAGCGGAGCCTGGCAACCGTCTATGGTAATCTGTTCCACCTTGGTCACCCGTCCAAGATAAACCCTGCTTAGTCAGAGACCTGAAGAGGGACGGGCGCCTTCTGGGTGACGTGGTCACCCATGGTTGCTGGCAGATCGGCTTGTTGGGTAGGCCTGTTGTCCCAGCTACAGCCCTGGCTCAGCTCAGATCCTGTCCATTCTTACCAGTTAAGATTAACGATGCATCAAAACTGTGGGGATAATAATTATTTTCAATATTTCAAATGTACAATTAAATAATTCCCATTACAAAACTCTAAATCATACATATTTTTTTAAAAATATTGTGATGGGTACACGGGACTACTACGATCAACAAAAGGTGCTGCATGGACTAGAATGAAAAAAAAACATTCTTAGCATTAGCTGTTACCACGACGCACATTTATGAAACCACGAGGGGAAAATCGTTACATGCCTACTCTCTGCCCTCCACAACCATAAATAAAACGTTTAAAATACGCACAAGAGGTTAAAACAATTTCACATTGTTACTCTTTTATGGTCACATCCCCTCCACGTTGACCGTGTTACATCGCAACTCTCCAGAGGCGGCCTGGGAGAATCACTCCCCGAGCAGAGCCACGTGGCCCGGTTTGTGCAGGTGCAGCCTGATAACAGCTGCCTTGGGAATCATGGTCAGTCTCACCAAGCTCTCACATCATGCTTTGCCTGCTTCCAAATCGTCGTGGGAATGCGGCATGGTCAGCTTTATAAGGGCTATTACAATTGCAGTGGGTTACTCCAGTGATTTTTTTGTAATGGATCTGGTCCCTCCACAGAAGCTGGTGTTCATGGAATTTCTGGGCAAGCGGGGACCTGAGACGCACTCTGAACCCGGGGCCAGCGCCGGCGACGCAGCCACGTCCACAGAGGCCACCCACGTGGAAAGTCCACCGTGGAAAGGGACCGGCGAAGGGAGGCCCACGTCTAACTAAAGACCGGGGAGGAGTGACCCACCACCAACCCGAGGGACTGTTTCACGTGGAGATGGCATGCTCGGCAAGACAAGGCTAACCACCAGAAGGTCAGGAGTGGAGATTTCAGGTTGAATGGAAAATGTTATTAAATAAAGTCAATTTGAAATGTTTTACACAGGAAAGTCTTAAGTGATTTTGGTTACGTTTAACCCCTACGTTTCTTTGCTGGTGTGCGAGTCATTGATCAGACCAAAGGAAATCCCAAATTCTTTAAAAAATTATCCCGTTAGAGAAGTTTCAGAACGCGCATGAGTAGGCGGTCAGACATGCAGGTTTACCCTGCCTCCCACAAGCAACTGCCTAGCTGTCCAACAAATATGCACATCGCACACAACTGTGGTTCTGTTCAACCTCGGATAACTTTCAAATTGAGGCTACAAACGCCGTGTCGGGTTTTCCAGTGAGAGTGGATGGACTAACTGGAACAGCAATGTGGCTTCATCATTGGCACTCTCCACGAGAGAGCCTATGCAGCTTCCTAGGACCTTAGAGCACAAGTATCATGAGTGGGATTAGAAAAGGCCAGAACGATGATGGTAATGGTGACGATAGTTATAATGGGTGATGATTTTATTTGTGTATGGCAATGTTTTCCAGAGCGGTAGCCTTTTCGCAGCCCACCTGTTACGTGTTTTCATGTTAACTTAAAACACAATACCGTCATCGACACGAAATAGACGTCGTCAATTATAGTAATGGTTATGATGATTGAAGTGATGATAATGTGATGAGGGACACCGGGTAGACTCGGACCGGCACCTGAACTCGCACCCAGCCTCTGCAGGCTGAGCTTTTCAGTACTTCGCACCTCATGGCGCGCACAAACGCAAGGAAACGGAGGAAAGAGACGACAGCACAGGCGCGTTTGGTTTTGGTTACAGGACTATTACAAGGTTTATTCATGTAATGTGGCAAGACGGCAGGGGGACACAGCGCCTTCTCACTTATATCTTTGAAATGAATAAACAATTTTAACTACGTTTTAACTTCATCGTATGGTACATGGTAGTGTACATAACTGCTTTATCTACATACGCGACTACAGTTTTTCGCTTTGATGGTTGTTTCCATTTCCTTTAGTTTTCATCGGAAATATAATGCTTATGGTAATAATTACATACTTGGAGACATTACAAAAAATTAACAATAATTAATCATTACGGTTGTGTGCGGGAGGGGGTGGGGAAACACTGATTGCGCAGCCGACGCACAATTAATGCACATGATTTAATCGTACAGCACAGCGAAGGCACTTAAAATGTCTGCGGAGGAATGAATGAATGCATTAAAAGGTGTGCTCCGATGTGGGGCCGTCGTGCGCGTAGGAAGTGACATTGGTCAAGTTTTTATTCATACCCCACCACACACCTTTTTCGGAATCCGAGACTCAGTCCATCAAAAAGCACTTGCAGTGAACACACTGGCACCGCAAACAGCCTTCCATAATTACAGCGATCCATGATCGAGCTTGATTGACAGGCAGGTTACCTGTTGCGATCACGCAACAACACTCCGGCCAGGTGTGCAGCAGCAGCAGATGAGGCGTTTGGCGTACCGGAGCTGACCACCGTTTTGACAGCGAGCCCTTTACTCTCTCTCTCTATAGTACCTCGAATAGTAGTGAAGAAAATAAAACCAGAACCGCTCATTTACATTCGTATCTGTAATGCTCTTAAGTTACCTTAATTGTTTTTTACATCGCCATACCCTCTTCCAAACAATTCGGCACGTCGCACGTTTAGTCTGAATGTTTGCAGCAGAATTGCGAATGGGCAAACAAAAACACTCGCACGTGCATTTCTCATTTAATCTGCAACACTTGGAAGAATTCACTTCATTATTATACAATACCTGCCGCCCATTATCATTTGGCACAAATGACCCGATCAACACTGGTCCCAACTCAACCCTAACCTGAAACCCAAGCCCAGTCGCGTACCGATCACCAATGTCGTAAAAACAGTCGTAACAACGGTATGTAGGCAGGGACAACATTCGTCACGGATGATGTATGGCATCGTAATTCAGGACAGTTTGTACCACACTGCAACACCACTACAAGACGATGAGAAACAATGACTTCTGTTTGTTTAGCTGACCAGCAATAGGCTGATAAGAGATTATGGCTAATTTCAGGATTATGGGTCAGGATTATCGTTAAGTGTTCGGGCTACAGTATGGGAAAGTAAAGTTAAAAGAGGCTTGGGCTGATTCTGGGGCTAGGACTAGCGTCATAATTATTGTCCACCACTTACATAATGCATTTATCCAGACTCGCCGAGTTTCGGGAGTGTCCTTGCACGACAATTCGTCAATCCATCGTGAAGGAATTGAGTGTCAGGATTGTTGGGTGGCTCATGATGGCAATGTTTAAGTCCTGAGCCAGAATCCACCGATAGCAATGTTTCACGATTTCAGGCACAACATCAGTGACTTCCATGAAAAAAACACAAACCTGTTTTTTTCATACAAATGCTTACAGAGGGTTAAAGCTTATGAATATATCCGATGATTGGCATGTGACAACACGTTGTCCAGAGAGCGTGAAGGCACGTCGTCTAACCCAGTAGAACCGTGGAGTCATCTTCCGGATCACTCAGGACTAGCGACTTGACGAGGTTTCTTCGCTTCATGATACGATTGATTTCAGACTGGCATCAACGGGAGACATGATCTATCCACTGCTGGATGAAGGCCTCTGTAAGCCGTCACCCATCCTGCAGTGCCACAATCAGAAATAAAAAAAAGGTTTCCCTCTTCAACTAAATGTGGCGATGCTCGTGTCCTTTAGAAGCTGTGGGCCAGTGATATTCCACATTCCCATGACAGACCACTATTCTCAACGAGCATAACCACTGTTGTTTCCCACAAAGGTGCTTATATTGACCCCAATAAGGTGAGTGGGCCACCAAGGGAGATTTGGACACTGGTGATTATAAATCAGCTGGGACGTATGGAAGGTAAGAGGGCTTGACAACCTGGGTTAGAATTCAGGTTTCAGCCACCTGTGATAAAACCAGACTTTCAAGCGTCGTGAGTGGATGGCCTTAGCTCAGCCACCATTGACCGTACGCACCAAAACTTAACAAGTAGATTTTTCACTTAATTCGACATTCTGGATGAGGCCTAAAACACATTTTTTGTGTGATTGGCATGAGATGCATACTTAATCAACAGGGCATGTGAGAGGACACCACTCATGATATTTGAAGGGACATTAGTAAATCTGTGATGTCCCCTTCGTAGGGCGTAGCGCAGTACTTCACGAGAACTAAGAATGGACATGTTTTCATCCCATGACAATGTGATTACAACAGCACAATCGCAACACAACTGGGATATTTCATAATCATTCGGCATTCAAGACCCGTTTAAAATTTCAGCAAATTTGGCCCGCTGCATCGCCAACAATTTCCTCCAGACAGTCTCGTCCCTTCACCTGATGAAGGCCACTTGTGTTGTGGCCGAAACGTCGTGAGAATTTAATTGTGTTATTTTTAATTTATTATTTTATTCTCATTCTACGTGACTTTACCGAAAGAACCAAAGAAGATGAATCCTTGCAGTCACGAAAGCTTTAAATTGAAACAATTTCCAAGCAAGAACCTTCAGAAGTTCGTATTTTGGGATGCTATTGTGCGGGATTATGGTGTGGGAGACATCAATGCCAGGGTCAGTGGAACAGCAGTTTTGTTTTGTGGTGTCTGTGTGGAGTAACTGTCCAACCCCAAAACAGCCTCGTTAACTATTTTGTTAGCCAGCTTTGTGTGAGAAAAACACCATCACAAATTCTAATGAAGTCACTTCGTTAAAAAAATCTACCAGCTAGCCCTGCAGCCCGGCTTGGGCGGATTGCTTTTAAAAGTAAATTTCTCTTCCAAAGGAATAACCTGCATTGACTGTATAATTATTTTGCTAGGGGTGTGTCAGCCCCTGGCAATTCAATGTATTGTCGATTTATATTTGCCATGATTCAATAAACAATGCTCTTTTTAACACTCCCGTAAATGCAACGGCATTTAGTGTCTGCAAGGGTCATTATGAACTCTAAGTGAAAATAAAAAATATCAATTTTTACACGAGTCGATGAATGTACTTTAAGCTTTGAAAAAAAAAAGATTTAATGAATTGATTCACCCTCACCCACAATGAAGGCTCCCCACCCCACCTGATGAAGGTTGTGCGCGCGCCGAAAGCAGTTTGGCAAGTCATGGCAATACAGTAAACGCTGACCAGTCTGGACTTAGAGAACATCAATTAACATACCGTGATTATATCAACACAAAATGCTTTAAGGGAAGCTCACCCAACGCTCTTTGAGGTCTGTCAACTTAGAGTCAGTTTAGTGTTTTCTCTCTTTATTCTTTAAATACTCTTGATGTCTATGAAACATGAGAATTAAAACCTTCACACGCTTTGGGACCGCTAGTACCGTACCTCTGTTCGCGAGCGTTCCAACATTTGACCGCGCAAGGCAAATGCACCGTACCGCCAAGCACCATGGCACTTGTTAAACCGAAAGCATGGAGCTGAGAAAACAAGCAGGGACAAGCGTACACCGGTACGAAGACGACGTCAAAACAAAAAAAACACACCAAGATTAGAAAAAAAAAGCCACACGGAGGATGCACGGTGTGCCACCAGCGCAGGACACAAGTCTGCGTACAACTGCAGCGGCGTGCAAGGGTGCAGAGGAATGGACACCGCTGTAGTGTTGTTTTTGGTAGCGTGAAAAGATGAGACGCACCGTCAAGTTTTGCAAACAAAATGACGCTCTGAGACACGCGCTGATCATGTGGCTACACCCACAAACACACGCACGAATGCACACATTCACATTTGAAATTGGTCTGTTTCTGGGAACTAATGTCGATTTTTTTTCAGTTTTTTTTAAAACCATAATGGGCACTTTTTTGTCGTTGAAAAAAAATTAAGTCAAGGAAGCTTATTTGCACGGAATGAGTCGCACAGCTAAAGCGCGTACAGGTACCGAGAGTGAGAATTCCGTAAACACAGCCCCACTTGCCCCCAGCAAGCAAGGCCTGCGCGATCCGCCGCTTTGCATGCTGGGAAGGCAAGGTAGCTTTCAGCTGGACTCCTCTCCACCGTCAACAGGAATGGGATGATAAAAAAACTATATTCACACAGTAACAACAATTATAGTAAAAACAGGCATGTGGCCTCATATACCGTTACGTTCAGGACAAGGCTTTATGCAGCTCAAATAAAGTGGGGAATGGCACTGGTTCAATTTAATTTTCCTTGGAAATGTCAATCATGCCCTTTCACACCTCCGCTAACACTTCACAAGTCTCACCACTCACCCACACACTTTCCATCGCTTACCCTCTACCTCCCTTTGCCTTCCCATCCCTCCGTGGCACTCCCGTCCCTCACACTGCTTCACAGCTAACTGAAATGCATTCTTTTAATTGACCCGACAGTTGGCACATCATTAACCGTTTCAAAATGTATGACCTATTTACAAGACGGCCCCTTTGGCTGAGCGAATCCGTCCACCCAGTGCTGTCGGTGGGACGTCCCCCTTTTCTCTGAACTGCGCAGTCACCGGCAGAGTTGTCGAAGTGCAGGGGCAACGCTCGGCCTCGGGCCTCCAGTACAATCGGCACGCTTCGTCTGCACTTGCGACTGTCCTTTCCTCGTCCGGCGACACAGCGTTACCAGCGTTCACTCCTCCGTGCCACAGCCTCTCCAGGAGACGAGGCTTGCGCTCATGAATGTATGAACACTACTAACACTGTGATGCGCACCCCCCCCCCCCTATCCTCCTACTCCGCCTCTACACAAACACCCACAAACAACCAAGACGAGGCACCTCCACCACCCTCCACTGCAAATGGGACGGCGATGTCAGGCTCGCCCGGCAAACAAAGCTCGCGGCAAGCGTGATGCGCTTTACACGGAACGCGTGCGAGTGCGTTGGTGCAGACGCTGGCATGAGCGATCGGCAGAAGGGCTGCGGGAGCACCCGCCGCCACAACCACCGTCGACTCGACCCTACATGGGCGGGTCAGTGCTGTTATGCCGCGTCTTGCGGACCGTGCCGTCGTCCCGTGGCAGCGCACGCTGCAGGCTCGACATGGCGGCCGTCTTCTCCAGGTCGATGGTGGCGTACACTTCTGTGCGCCGCGTCGGCGTCTGTGGGAGAGGCGTGCCCGGCGTGCGCGGAGTGCGTGGCGCCGCACCGCCCCCCCCGCCGTTCTCTCCCTCGCTGCTCCCCGCCTCATCCAGCTCCACCTGGATGTAGTTGAGCGCCGCCAAGCCCCCACTTCCGGCACCGCCCGCGCCATGGTGATGGTGGTGGTGATGATGGTGGTGCTGCAGCAGGCTGCCGCGCCGGAACTCGAAGCTGAACACTGTGGGCGCTGCCTCCCGCTTGCGCAACAAGTCGGAGTGGCCCTTGCCGGCCACCGGCGCCTGGGCGTCCACCAGCCCCGCGGCACCGGGGTGGTATCCGTTCCGCAGCGGCGTGCGCACTGCCGTTACTGCCGGCTCCTCGCGCACCGAGGGCAGCGTCGGCCAGTTCTCGTAGTTCTGCAGAGTCCGTCCGCCCACCGGCACCACCACCACCGCCGCCGACACTACGGGGTTCCCGTTCTGCACCTCCACTGCTGCCCTACTGGACGGCGCACCGGGCGTCTGTGGCGGCAAGCCATTGACGTTCTCGTACACCAGCCGGTTGTTGTTGCCGCCGGCGCCGTGGCTATTACCGATGCCTGGTTCCTTCCGGCTGCTGGACGACACTGGGACGACAGCACCTCCGTCCTCCACGTGCACGGTGGCGGCGTTAGCATTGGTGTTGGCGAGCGTCACGGCTGACAGATGCTGCTGCTGAGCGTCGCCATCCTGGTGCTCGCGCCTGCGGCGCCGCTCCAGCTCGCGTTTCTGCGCCGGAGTGGGTCCCAAAATGAACTTGGCTCCCTGCGACTCCAACTGCACCTGCGGATTGCGCTCCTCCATGGAACCGCGGGGGCCCGTGGCGGGCCCCGGCTCGGCTGCCGATGTAGTGGAAGCAGCGGCGGCAGCGGCTGCGGCCGCCGAACCTCCGCTTGCTCCGTTTGGCGGGGCGCTGGCCGAGCTCACGGTAGTGGCACCACCACCAGACCTGGAGCCGAGCTCCTCGTGTACGTTGGAGGTGTTCACGTACGTGTGTACCTAAGGAATAGCGGAGGTGGGGTTGGGGGGCAGGAGCGTAAAGGGAATAGCATTTACTCGCACGAGAACCTCAAGCGTTTAAACTAATTCTCGCGGCGCTCTCTTTGCATATAGGAGGAAGTAGGCATGAGATGGTTCGCCCAAACAGCGGTTCGATTAACTGTGTTGCGATCACATTCAAGAGTTAATTATTTTTGTGTCGTTTGTATTATTTGTATTTGTTAATGTCTAGTTTGCACAATTTTGTTAGCTCATCGTCATCATTAGGCTATGATCTATTCACCAAGTTTAATTTGCCTAAAAGGGCAGAGCGGTGGTGCAATGGTTTTCATACGACATCACAAATCTCGACGACCAGACTCTAATCCCCAGCTACGGAACCAGTACCAACATCACCTCCTTCACCAACCCACACTGACCAGCATGGTTAAAATAAACCCCACGACTCGCACAGCATACGCATGCCATCATATAAATAAACGTATATGCGTCTTCATCATTTATGACTTGCCCACTAGCGCAAATGTAATATGACCAGACACATTTGCACTTAAAACACAACTCCGAGCGACGCACCGCCCTCCGCCCTCGCGTTCGTCTCTGCGCGGGCGCCCAAACCTGCTCGTCGGGCACGATGAGGGGGTGCGTCGACTCCTCGCCCACCGAGGGGAGGCGCGCGCTGCCCACCGACGGGTGGCGACTCGACGGGTGCGACGAGCTCTCCTCGTACGACATCCGCCGCGGGTACTGCTGCCCGTAGCCCGGGGCTGGCAAGGACCACGCAATACGGGCAAACGGGACAACGGAGAGACACACGGGGGTGGGTGGGGGGGGCATAGGGAGAATGGGGAATGAGAGGAGTGACAAGAGAGATAACTGGACACCAGATGGACAAATAGGTAAACAAACGGATAAGGGATACACAGAAACAGGTGCCTGCAGGGTGGGCTGGTAGGACAAGTCTCTGCGCTGTCTATTGCTGATTTTACACCCAACAGCACGAGATTTCACTTCGTTAAAGTATTGAAAGGGGACGGACGGACGGACACATTAATCTATTGCAGGCTGGTACACTCACGTTTACAACTTCGTTCCTACCAGTAAAAGATTGACATGTACCACAAGAGAAAACAGATAAGAGACACAGGCATATAGACAGACAGATAAGGGACATGATGGTAGGACAGACATTCTAATTGAAGGAAACGTGTCGTCCTGGTCAAATGAGGGAGCATAGCTAATTTCCTTTAACTGCCCAGAGTCAGCAGGTCGCAATTCCTATAGCAGATGTGTACAAGTTTACGTGTGTGTAGTGGGTATACAAGTGCGCACGTGCGCACGCTTGGTGCGTGTGCGTTGCATGCGACTGGTGTGTGCGCGCACAATAGCGGGCGTGCATACTGCGTGTCTACATGTATGTATCTATCCGTACTGGTGAGGGTGCAACTGTGTGCATGTGGTACACGTGTCCACTGTGTGTGTAGCCATGTGTTCGTGCACACGCGGACTGGTGGGCGTGTTTACTCTGTGTGTATATGCGAGTATGTGCATGTGTCTTTATCTTGTGTATGGGGAGCGGTAGTGTAGCGGTAAGCACGCTGCGCTACGAACCCGGTGACCCGAGTTCGATTCCCACTCACGGCCGGCCAACACCAATAAAAATAATTTGAACCGGTCATGGGTCTCTCCTAGGTCGACTCAGCCTCAAATGAGTACCTGGTGTGGCATCTAAACGTCAGCACCGGGAAGACAAAGGCGGCCGGGCATGGTGTTGACCACCCAACCCCCTTGAGCGCCGTGGCAGCCTTCATAGGTGCTTGTTAACAGCATGTGTGTGTGTGCGCGTACTGGTGTGTGTGTGTGCCTGAGTGCCAGCGCGGAGAGTGTGTGCGAGCGCGTGAGTGTGTGCGAGCGCGTGAGTGTGTGTGTGCGTGAGTGCGAGCGCGTGAGTGTGTGTGTGCGTACTGGTGTGTGTGTGTGCCTGAGTGCCAGCGCGGAGAGTGTGTGCGAGCGCGTGAGTGTGTGTGTGCCTGAGTGTGAGCGCGTGAGTGTGTGCGTGCGCGTACTGGTGGGCGTGCGCGGCGTGCGCGGCGTACGCGGCAGCTCGGACTCGGCATGCGAGTGCAGGCGGTCTCGCGTTGGCTCCTCGCGCACATTTATCCGGTTGCACTGCATGTTCTCCTGGAGCAGGTTGAACATCTCCTCGGCGCGCGCGCACTTGAACGCGAAGATGCCTGCACGTGACAACGGGGGTGGGAGGGCGAGGAGACGGGAAGAAGAGGGGATTGGTGACTGTGCAGCAAGACTTAAGTTGCTCTGTTTTTTATACAAAGTGTTTTACTCCCCCCCCCCCAAGTGACAATTCAATTCTGCTAGGAGTCTCATGTTGTAACGAGGAGAATACATCTCAAAGCTGCTGCCTCAGCAGCTTTCCTGCTCTTTTTTCTCCTGATGACGATTGCTTGTGTTGCCATCGAAACGTAGTAGTTTTTGTAATTTGTAGTAGTTTCTTTGAACCTATCTACGTCACTTTACCGAAAGACCCAAGAATATGAATTCCTGCAGTCACGAAAGCTTAAAGTCAAGACTTAACCATCACAGTTACTCATGATAGAGAACGGCCTCTAGAGGAAGATGACCTCTCAGAACTACAACCGATGTCTCTTCAGTCACCTCTAATCCACACTAGGTAATGCTGCTGCACCTTCTCACGTGTGTTGCTATACAGCTCGTCACATAGTAACACCCCAAACAAGATTTTAGTCAAGAGGAAGAAGCCAAACGAAGTGAAAGAAATTTAAGCTCGTGCTTCCCAAGACACATATTCAAGATTTCACCCACAGTCGTGCTGCTGCAGCCTCCCAAACTCCCCCCCCCCCGCCGGCTAGGTAGCACGAATGCCGAGACGTCGCCAAATGCCGTGGCGTGTCCTCACCTTGCCCCGTCTGGCAGCGGCGGCCACTCTCAAAGGAGAAGAGGTTCGAGTCGTAGCCGTAGCGGCGCAGGCAGGTGTACGGCCACCGCACTGCGTCCCGCTTGCGCGTGTGCAAAATTATCTCCTGGTCCGTGATCTCCATGATGCCCGACTCTAATTCATTGCCGTCGTCGTCGACGTTCTTCACCTGAAGAGTTTTGCACGGTAGGGGGAAAAGGGGCGGGGAGAGTGAGGAAGGAGCAGAGGAGAGTGGAAGAGGTACAATAATAATGATAACTACACGTCATGATGCGTCAACTTATATATTATTAGTGTTGTTGTGACTGGGTGCAGGAACTACTCAGAGGGTTGGGCAGGTCTGAGGAAGCTGGGATGGACTGCCTATAATTGAGCACTGGAGCGCAGTCCCAAACAGCAATGGTTGTAGATGCAAGCGCAACAGCCAATTGGGTGTGACGGAGCTGTGATGGGTTTAACTTGCACGTGTGGGGAGTGGACGATCACTGGAAGAGCTACAGAATTACCAACCCTTGCTCACGATTGATGGAATTTGTATGAGTGGAGGGGAATGATTCATCACCCCAGCAAATTACTAATTGCTTGCTCACCATTGGTCGATTTTTTTTCACGCTTTTCGAACCGTGCACTGAGTTATGATTTGGAGCAATTAGGTAGGCAGCCTGATGTAATGGTTTAGGGTGGAGCTGCTCTCCAATTGGCTAGCTCACCTGGTGAAAGCAAGTGGAAGTTCTGTGGTTGTCGGGGTTCTGAATAGAGGTGAGTAGTGTGCCCCAGGGCTCCAAACTGAATTTCAGAACCCGAAAGTACAACAAAGGGCATGGCAGGAAAAAAAAAGTGTGCCAAACCCCTGTTAAATCTTAATTATGTTGGTGGATTGTGGGGACTTGGAAGGCTATCCAAAATCAAGGTGCCTGGGGATGGCGGAGGCAACCTTACCTCAAAGTATGCGGAGTTCGGGAATGTGCCAGGGGTAGGCGTGAGTTTGTCCGTGCTAGGTTGCAATTTATCGTGAGTTTTTTGGTAGAACCACACACAGCTCTTATGTGCATGGATACGTGCACAAATGAGCTTGCTGACCAAATAGCACAACTGATGCCGGCAATGGATACTAACGACACAGATGTGAGCATCATTCTTGCCCCCACATTTGTTTGTTGGAGGGAGGCTCTGCCTCGAACTGCCCAAGCACTCCTTTCTGGAGCCTCTTTCACAGGGGCCGGCCGATCTTGACGCCGCCGGTACCAGCGGTTGGAAAACCACCACTCTCCCACGCACACGCGTGCACTCACACGCAAGCTCTCACCTTAAACTTAGTGGGGTGGTTGTCTGGTTCATCCCTCTCAGCACAGCTGCTGCAGCTTCCCATAGCTCCAACATGACAACTGGCAGAGGGGGGAGAGAAGCGGCAAGCAGTTCAGCACGACGCTCTGCTGAAAAAGGTTCCCGATGCACCTGCAGCAAACGCCAGCAGCACCATATATACACCAACATCCATGCCCTGGCGATTATAAGATGAGTAAGATGGTTCGTGTGCTGTGCTCAGAACCCGTCAACCTGCGTCCGATTCCCGGGCACGACCATACATCACCCAAAGCCTGACCAGCAGGGTGAAGTATGGCCAAACAACATCCATGACTGACACAGCATGTAGAAGCATTTATCCAACAGTGCATTGACAAAGAGGTGTACATTACTTATTGACCTTTGGGAGGCCCAGGTGTGATTTAGACATAATTCACCACTGATGTTAGCTGTGGCAGGGAATCAAACGTAGGTGGCTGGATTCACTGCACAATGCGCTACCACTCTAAAACCGACACAAACACACTACGCGCACTTATCAAAAGACCACTGATGCGGGTGACATCTACAGTACCGCGTTGGTTTTTGCAGTTGTACTGTGCTTGGTTCGGCATTAGCAAGTTCCCAGCACGTGCAGCAAAACTTCAGACATTGTGCCCGAACAACACAACCTGAAAACACATAGGAGGGCTCGACAGTGCCCCCGTGGTCTTTCCCCGAGACCCTTGTCTGGATTTCATCTCTGTGCCCTCCTTGTGTGCAGACAGGGGAGCCCTGGCCAAGCAGCCAGAGCCTCACAGGCACGTGAACGTCGTGGCTCAACTTTACCTACTGGCTCTGCTTTCACCTGACTCAGTGTATTTTCGCTATAAGAGGTTTGCTTTTATTGTTATTGAACAATTTTAATATGCAACCTTTTCTTTGCTCCGACTTGCCCAAAACGCTGCCAAGGGATGCCATTTTGACATTTAATTAACCTACTCGATGAGTGATGGGTGTGGTGACGAGCTCCTGTGATCCAGCGCTTTGGGAGGCAATGGTTGGTGAATCACACACATTTGGGACCCACAAACCCAATGGGCCATACGGTGACCAGGAGGTAGTCGGGCAAGCTCATTTTAGTGTTATCTTGTCAAGAATGGGCTCTCTCCTGGTACTCCAGATTCTTCACAAGATAAACTCTCATTCATGCAATTTCCTAAATATCCCATTGCAGGACTCAACGAGGCTTTCCTGGTTATACCACGTGATTGTTACATCGCGTAATTTAGACAGTGTTGCTTCTGATGCTGATGAGGCAGTGACACGTTCATTCCCGGAACGTGTCTCCTTAAGGTAAACACTATAGGCAAATTTCGTATCTGACATCAAACAATCAATAATCCAACCATTCACTTCTCCACTGAGTAGCGTTATTTTAGAAGTGAAAGAAAACGTTTATTGGCGAGTCGGATGTCCCTTGCATTGACCAATCAATGGGCACTAGGTGGCGCACGACTCACTGTGATGGCTCCTGCATGTGACAAATGGAAGTGGAATATAATTGGGAGACGAAACGAAAGCTGAGAATGCAATCTACTTTAGGGGCGTGGAGTCCTTGGCACCGCAAACAAAACCTAAGGCAACACAATACAAATAAATATATTGAAATTCTTGCACAAATTAACGTGTATTGCATGCCACTAATAGTACTGATTTCAAGCGGAATACATCTTAACGAAGAGATTAAGGTATTTTGAGGGCAAGGCACATGAATAGACCGCTTAGAATAAGTCTTAGATTACTAGAAGACATCTTCCTGGTTAAGCAATAGGCTGCAGAGAAACACATCTACGTCTCTATAAGAAGAATATTAATGAGTACGTCAGTCGGTCACTCACAGCACTTTGGAAATATTTTGTTCACAACGAGAACGAGGTCTCATTTTTAGTGTAAGGAGCTAGGCCCCAAATGGTGTTGATCAGCTCAGTATGATCTATACCCCTTGATGTAAGTAAAATAAACCCAAGACAAAATACTTTCACTATTCTCATCGCAATGAGCATTGTGTCAGACCTCATGTACAAAGAGACCGGGTGGTGGAGGGCAAAGCATATAATGAGGCTACAGGTGATAGGGTTCTGCGCAGTTTTGTTCACGACTCGTAGTTGAGAAGTAAACAAAACTTAATTCCTTCCATAGCAGACTGTCATCACCACAGGCTGCACACCTCTACCATAGCAGTTTATATTTCCGTCAAGAAACAGAGGAATGCCAGAGAGAAGAGTTGAGGGGCTAGAGATCCGGGGGCCGCAGCATCCAAAATAATAAGCAGCCATTTTTGTAAGAATTTGGAAGGGAAAAAAACCCTTCAATATTTCAAGAACTGCAATGCATGTGAATTACAAGACGGTGGTTCTTAATTTTAAAAAGCCTCACCAAGCAATATTTAAAGAGCCGAATGCGGCTCCGTGGTCCTAAGGTTGCTGACACCCTGGGCTAGGTGGTGGTGTGGCGCTGGCCGTTGCCATGGGGCGCACAGCCCGGCTCGGCCTGCTCAGCTCTGTTCGTGCTGTTGACGGTGCCGCTTGCCGCTTGCGCCCCGCTCTTTAAACATTAACTTGCGGGACAATCCTTACCACCCCCATTCACCTCTAGCCATCGCAAACAAAAAAAAACCACATACACACACACTGGGTCGTCCTCCTCTCTCACCAGCCTGTGTGTGTGTTTGTTTGATGTTTTACATTTCGGTTGTGCACGCTAATGTGTTTTTTTTCTCCCACTTCATTATAACGTGTCATCAATCCCATAGTAACCAGACACCTCAAAAATATTTTTTATTTCAAGTGGTGTAAAATAAAGCCTATAAACCCATAAATTTCGATTTAAAGCTTTCGTGACTGCAAGGATTCATCTTCTTTGGTTCTTTCGGTAAAGTCACGTAGAATGAGAATAAAATAATAAATTGATAAAATAAAATAACACAATAATATTCTCACTATAAACCCATTCATCTACAATTCCGAGTCCTACAGAGATTAACAAGTCTCCATTTAAAAAGGGATAAAGAACCTCAATGAACGATTATAACGTGCGGCCCAAATAAGTCCACTGCTAGATGAAAATATCCTTTCGTCACGGAGGGGTTTTATGACCGTACTTCACCACGCTGGATTAAGTGTGGGTTTGTGAAGAGAGAGAAGTGCGCTTGGCTAGTTCAGATATCTCTTTAGCCACTTATGTTTGCCGTGGCCAGGAATCGAACACGGGTCGCTGGGTTCACAGTGAAACGCACACACCATTGCACTACCACTCCACCCCAATGATCTCTTGCTCTGGTCTAAATAAATTACAATTTAGTTACCAATAAGAACCATATTTGTTAGGGTTATAAAAAAACAATCGTAATGGCATCTTAATCGGCTCTTTGCTAGTTTCAATAATGGAAATATATTTCAAAACAATAACTGCCTTTTACCCAACTATGGTTAAACACAATATATTTGTAAAATAAAGGAAGAGAATTCAAGGTTGCCCAAACAAGACTATGAAGTTTCAATTAAAAAAAACATCACAGTCATGGGTGTCATTATGATACTTGTGATGTCAACGTAATATCACTCATACATTTCAATGTCAATGCAGTAGCACCACAATAACAGGGCATCTGCCAATGATTTTAATGTTTTTGTTTCTTAAAGCTTAACTCATGGTCCGACCACTCTGCACACACTGCCAAGCTACTGGACGTATCTGAAAGATAAAGAGCTGTTTGTATTTTGGATTGCGTATTGTTAGAATTCTCATTGGGACTTACCTGCTTTAAATAAAGAAAATCTTATCTAAATATCCACTTAACAGTTCTCTGCACTGTGTGCATTTCAAACCATTTTGAAGCCCCATTTCAATGAGCTTTACTTACCTAACACTTCATTAAAAAGTTAGTCGTTTTCTTTAACATACGGTGGTGCATGGCTCGTTGTGAGAGCTGTGAATGGAAATGTTTTCATCTTATGACTTCTTGTTACCACCAATGGCACATTTAGATTTTCATGGTGAGATTTCTTGAAACAAGGTAGAAGAGCAGGCTGGCACAAGACTACACTCCTTCGAATATGACCTTATTTTGGCTCGTAAAGTATTGAACACTGCCACTAAAAGCCAAGATGAAACTAAATAAATAAGCATCCAGGTACTGGCACGCTCTAGTGACTTCACTGTGGCCCTGTGTTGTGTTTTTTACAGGTCCATCACGATGTGCAGTGCACACTGGGAAAAAGCACTCCTGCTACTGCAATGTGCAATGCATGCTGGGAACCGGCATTCCAGCTAAAGTATGTCACTCAACCACTATAGCTACATTTCCATATGCAGTGCATGATAGGAGTTTTCAATGCAGTTACATCCCTACTCGTGGTACATTCTAGGTGGCCAAATAAGTCACACGCTACAGAATGTCAGAGTTTGGTCCAGGATCTGAAACGCTTCGCTGTGATTTCAGAGGGGAATAACAAAGTGTTTTTAATATATAGTTAAAACATATCATTGCTGTATTTCTGCAAATTAGTATTGTTTCTGGTTAACTAAATAAGAGTTCCTAATTGTCATTTGAGTTGTGTCTTCCTTTAATAAGGGAGACTGAAGAAAAGCAAATCACCTCAAAGTTTTCGTCCAAACCATGAGTAGGCAACCTGTGGCTTCAGAGACGCGTGCGGCTCTGTACGCACTGCTTCGCGACGTAATGTATGTACGTGCATATGTATCCACATGCACATTGAGTTGTGTACCGAATTCGAAAAAAATGGGCCTTCTTGTTATTTTGGTTGCCGACCCCTGGTCCAGACTCACAAGGAACATGGTGTGTGGCAGCCGTCTGGTCTGGCTCTGCAGATCTATGCTGTTTGCAGGCACTGTCAACGTCGACGGGCTCATAACTCAGTAACAAGTGACCCGACCCTCGGGATATCAACATTCCACCGAGTTTCAATTGTCAGAAAAAAATCTAGAGCATTAAATTAAATCCCTACTGCAACATTACTCTTTTTTTCATGTAAAAACGCTGCCTGTTTGTTCCCCGATTGCCAGCCGTGCCTTTGTG